CACACACACACACACACACACACACACACACACACACACACACACACACTTCCTAAGTGAATGAGGAGCAGCTGTGTTCGTTTCCGGAGATTTTGATCCAAGCTAAGAGGGACAAACTGAAGGGATATCCTGGCAGTAGTTACGTACACACAAACACGCTCCGGTTTCAGACCCTCCAGGGATAACCTGTGCTTTAAAAAGGACAACAACAACAACAACAAAACAAAAACTAAACCTGGCACAGATCTGGTGCTAAGATGTGTCCTTTGATCCCCAAACAATGAACAGCCTTCAGTTACACTTGTAGCTGCTCTCAGGATGGTCTGTGACGCATTCAGCTCAAATCACTCCGGTTGTTCTGCAGCGCTTGTATTCATCAGAGCAGTGTTGGCTCTTTTGCCCTTTCTTCTCCAAACTTACGACTTCAAAATTTGCAATCACAAGATGCGTCATTCACAGAAAACTTCCTGCTCATCTTCTGCGTTCATTCCTGCAGCATGACAGTGAACAAAACAAGCCGTGAGTGCCGTGTTGCATCATCTTGTGTTAAAGTGATTTTAACATAAACGTTTCTGCAGTCATAAGGACTTCTCTTCTAATATTGCCAATAAATTCAGGTTTAATTTATTGTTTTTTCATATGAGCCAGGAAGAGTTTTAACTTCAACTAAAAACAACCACAACTCAGTGCTGAATGAACACCAGATATTCAGCTACAAACACATCATCTAACTTCTAACCATCCACAACAAACATCACGCTGTGTGGCTTACCAAGGAAACCAAGCTGATCGCATCTTTTATTACTAACAAACTATTTGCCGACATGCACATGCACATTTGTGCAGCTGTTAAAACAAAACAGGGGGATTCTTTCTGTGTTTTAAATAACAATAATCTTGCTTTATGCATTCATACATTTTTATGTCCTTAACACCTCTCAGCTGGAACAACTTGCTCAGAACTGCCAAAGCACAAATAATTTCTGAGCAGGGCTTTAAAGTTGAATTTGCTTCATGTCACATACTGTATCTCTGGTATTTTAATGCAGTACTTGAGAACAAAAGATGGAGAGTCAGAACATGTGGGACTTTTTTTTTTTGTTGCAGCTGACAAGTTGTTAAGAACCCAGGGGTGAATTAGAAGCTGTAAAGTTGGAATTTATCATGAACAGATTTATATGAAACTAGTTTAGCATGAAAACTGTAGAAAATCAAAGGTTCAGTTCTGTTTTCAGGTTATGTGCACAAACTGAGCTCTTTAACATCTCGAATTCTGTTTTAAACCTCCTTTTCAAAAAGAAAAATAAGTAGGTCCTCTGGAAGTTTCTTCTTTAATGAAACGTTTCGTCTCTCTTCCAGTAGACCTTCAGTCTGAGGAGTTTCAGGTGATCATGTTACATTTGTTGCATTCGCTACACAGGCTTATTTATGTGTACACCATGTGTTTTGTTAGCGGCTGGACATTGATATGTTACTGCATTATCAATCAGACAAGGTTTTTCTTCATTTGCTTTAAATATATCATGCTAAACAGAAGCTAAAATGTATAACAGTGTGATCACTTTAATTTTCAGCTAAAGCCTTAGTTGAACAATTGAAGGTTAAAATCCTTCACATTTTAAAAAAGTGTAAATGCTGATTCAGCAGTCAAACCCCTTGCTTATTTATATTGTTACATTTTTCCGTACCTTTCTTTTGCAAACTACCTTTTCGCTATTTATACATAGTTTGGCTAAAGATATGAACCAATAGCAGCAAATTGCAAAATACTAATGAGTAATGGTAAGTTATTTTCTCTGTGGTCATGTCTCTAAATATTTCTGTACGAGTGTGAAATAATTGTGTTACAGTGCAGCTCGTGTGTGAAATAATTGTGTTACAGTGCAGCTCCGTCTGAATGTGTTCTGTGTTCTTGTAGACAGTGAGGATGTGTTCTTACCTTCGATGAAGTCAGATGGGGTGTAGACTTTGCTCGTTTGAGTCTTTTCTGCTGCGTTGCCATTCTGCTGGTTTGAGGGCGTGTTGAGGCTCTGCAGGGCCACCTCCAGAACCTCTCCCAGCTCATCTCTTTTGTCCTTCCTCACAGGTTTCTCCTCGGGATGACGGGTGAGCCCCATCTCCAGCTGGTACACCCTCTGCAGGGTGAAGCTCTCAAAAGGCACCACAGCGTACTCACTGGGTAACCTGGTTCCAGCCGTCACCTCGGCCTTCAACAGTTGACCTCTCAGAAACTCCTGGAGGTCAGACTGTTGCTTCTTGGCCCCCTGGACTTCTCGGACCCCACCTCCTTGAGACCCAGCGCCCCCTCCCAGCCCGTCATCCGGACCCCTTGCGACGGTTTTCAGACTCTCCTGCACTCCTTTCAGCTGCTGGCTGCGCTCCTGCAGGTCCTCCTTCAGCTGAGCGATCTGCTTCTTCAAGGAGGAGATGTAGAGGCGGTGCTGCTCGTCGCGCTCCTGGAGGAGCATCTGGTAAGTGTGGACAGCTGGCGGACCCCCGCTTTGAGCTCCTGCTGCCCCTGTCCCACCGGGCCCGGTACCAATGAGGCTGGGGTGGTCGGACTCTGCGTGAGGCAACACGTGACTCAGCGGAGGGCTGTTGGCGTGTGGAGGACTGCACGTCATCAGGTAGAGGAGCGACAGGGAGCAGCAGAGGAACACCAGCAAGCCCCCGACGCGGGACACCCACGTTAGTAGTCCACGCCTCAACATTACCGCGAGTAGCATCAAAAACTGCCGAAATATCATGTGACCTCACACTCTCCAGCCTCGATCATAATAATCCACTTTCGATCCTCTTCCATCAGCCAATGAGACGGCGGGCGGCTCATCAGAATGAGGTCATTTAGTCCGAGTTAGGTCATCGCCTCTGGGCAGCTCGTTAGGACAAATCCTTTCCTCGCTGGAAACAGAAATGAGTCAAAACAAAAAATCCTCTCTGTTGGTTCACTTAGTGTCATGGTCTGCTGGAGGACATGGTTATGTCACGCGTCACTCGTATGTGACTCATCTGTTTTTTGTGCGTGCTCCGAGTCCCCTCAGTCCACGCTGCCCTCCTCCTGTCGGGTCGAGCCGGGACGATTCACAGAGGAAGACAGCGTAACTGAACCAGATCCCCTGCGGTCAGTGGTGGGTTCTCATGTTTTTCCTGACGGAGGAGACAGAAAGCAAAGAGACAGAGAGGTTAGCCATTAGAACCACAGATATTCCTTTCGTCACATCCAGACTTTTAAAGTGCAACAAATCAGAAAATCTGACATGTTGGTTTTAGGGGGCAAAGGGTTGGACCGCCTTCGCAAAGGGAATCATTCTTTTGGGGCGACAGTGACAATGATGTTACTGATTTTAGTTGTGAGGCAGTCGCCGCAGTGTAAGTGACAAATTGTAGAAATTAAACTTATCGTTTGTCCTTGAACATTTTGACACATTCATCTATCTGCACTTGGTATAAGAAATATATAAAAACAGATTTTTATATCATATTGCTACAGTGCAATGAATCCCTTGTGACGAAATTAGCCAAAAGGAAAATGGTGATGCATTTCTCCTAGAATAAACAGTAATGACTAATAAAAAGCTGTTTGTTTATTCAAACAACATAATTGAGAGTGTTTCACTTCATTATGGTTCTTCATTAAGACTAATGACATGTCCTTCAGCTTTAAACTGCTGAGCGGAAAAGGATAATCGTCAATTGTTAGCTTGCAAAAACAGTGTAAAATAGGAATTAAAACTGAATGAAAAGACTTTTTAAAAAATATTTAATTTTTAATCTAAATGAAAATGTAAAAGAGAAGACTTATAGAGGTGAGGAAACACCTGGTGGTAGTGCACAGTTTCCATGATGATAGGGATGTGCAGAGTAACATGAGAAATGTGAACATCTGAACCAATGAATAATATATACAGGTTTTAGAGCTGAAATCACATCAAGCAAGAACTTCAATCTTTAATTCACTTTGAAATATGTTGTTTTGTTCCCTAATGTCCCCATGTTTGTATTGTTTTGGGATTTTTTGAAAAAAGGGAAAATTTTTAAATTCAATTGTACAAGTCTTAAAATTTGGGGATCCTTCCTCGCTCACTTAAACAAAACCAGAGTGGGATCATTTTACTATCCTGGTCCAAGAAGGCCACAATCCAGCATGTTTTGGATATTATTCTGCTTCCGTACACCTGATTGGAATGAATGAGTGATTAGGCTCCTGCAGAACATGAGGATGAGCTGAAGACGTCATTTAATCAAAGAATCAGATGTTGTGGAGCAGGGAAACAAACAAACAAAAAAAAAATGCTGAATAATGGTCCCCACAGAAAAGGACTGGCATAATGTGTTGTTAATACAGTCAGCCTGTTTGAATGTTTTCTTTTCTGAGCCTGCAGCCTAAAATGAAGTGATCAGAGTTTCAACCAGTTTTACTGATATCAAGCCAAATTATGGTAAGGTAGTAGCAGACAGTCATCTCCAACACATTCTCTTAGCACTTCACACTGCACACTGCACAGATCTTGTGCAGTGTGAAGTGCACAGATCTTGTGCACTTCACACTGCACAATATCTGTGCAAAATAACTGATTCAACCGTCGAACATCAACCCTGTTTGTCTGTTAGCAAAATATATCATGGACCACCACTGGATGGATTTTAATGCAGCTCTCAAAAAGTAAATTGCTATGCACCTACATCTGATTAACCTTTGGAGTCACCCCAGTTCAAGATGGCTACTGGTAGATGAGATTTACCCATCACACAAACTCAAAGCAATATCATATGTTTGCTTTAAATGCTGGCGTTAACTGCTATAGCTGACACAGACTGACTGTTTTTAAAATATCTCATGAACTACTGGACTGATTTTATTGAAAGGCTCACAAAGTAACTTAAATGTCCATCAACAGATTCACATTTGACCCAGTACAAGATGCATCAATCAACACAAAAAATACTCAAATTTACATTAAGTGCACGTGGATCTAAAGGAGTCTTCTTCAACACATTCGACAAGCATCCACACATGAGATATGACAGCCATCTTGAATTAAATATGCTTTTCTTTATTTGTTGTATTAAAAAAACTAAGTATAAAATTAAAAACAAATACTGGACAGTCATAAAATGGCTGTTTTCTTTTTCGTTTAAACAAAACAAAAACAACAACAACAAAAGAAAAACAGCAATTCAGGCCATAGCTGAACACAAATTTTAAATATAAAATTAGCAATTTGTATTTCTTGTACCGTTTTTCTTCCAGAAATGATTTGTTTTCCCCCTTTTTTATCTGTTGCTATGATTGTAGGTCAAAATAAAAAATTATTAACTAGAAAATTAATGTCTTAACTTGACATTTGCTCACCTGAAATAAAGAAGTGTTTTAATTTGCTGATTTCGTTCAAACGAATACTGATCATAAAATATGTTCTGCATGGTTTCTGTGTGAAAACCGTGAGCTCTAGTCCAGCGTATTTGCCAGAGCAAACTCAAGTCTTGTGTATCAATATGTAAAAACGTGTTTCAGATGTGTGAAGGCATCTCTGTATCAGTGTCCGTCTCTCTCAGCTCTGCACACAGACAGCTCTTTGACCGCCTGAAGCTGGGGCTAATGAAAGGATTAGTATGTGGAACAGTGAATACTGAACTGTGCTCTAAAATACTGTACAGAGAAATCAGGAGACAGGGGGCGCCTCTGCAGCAGGACCTCCACCGCTGCCAATTTCAAGAATGTTTGAGGAGAAGGTGCTCAGGGAGACGTAGGTGAGTCAGTGCTGCAGGGCAAGAGCGTCTGCAGAGACGCCGCATCATCATCAATTGCAGGAAAACTCCTCTGTGGGGCCATGAATCCTCCAAGACGCTTAGCATAACGCTGAAGGAAGTTTCATGAGCTGTTTGGTTTGCAAAGGTTTCTCCTTTTTTGTGCTTACCACCAGAAAGGAAAAACAGAACGATATTTGTGCATGTCTGAGGAGATTTCGAGATTTAAGATGGTCACCACAGCTAATCAACCACAAAAACAACAACAACAACAACAACAAAGATATTGACCTATGGTTTGGTGTGGCTGTAGCAGAGTCAACCCTGTTTGTTTGCTAAATATCGTTCAAACCATTAGACAGATTTTAATACAACTTTCAGAAAGTGATCATCTATACAGCTATAACCGATTAACCATTGAAGTCAACCCTATTTAAGATGGCCACCACAGTTAAAGTACATTATCCACCCCCAAAAAATTCCTCTGAGCCAATTTATTGAGCTAAAAGTTCATGTGATAACAGCTGAGAGTCATTCACAACACACATTCTGACACTCTTATGTTGCACAAAACAATACATTGGGAACATGAGATATCTTTACAGTCTATTTTTTAAAGGTTTGGCCAAAATGGATCCAACATGTGATGATCTGGTAATATGCATTCCTTCAAATAAGGTTTTTAATTTGAAGACTATGTCTCTTAGATAATTTTGACTCTTTCTGTCCTCCATTAGGTTTAACAGAGACTTACCATGTTTTTAAATCCTTCTTTTTCACATTTAAATCATTCATTGAGGGTGTATAATATAAAGTGGAATTACACTGCTTTGGTCTGAATTCCTCCTTATTGTAACTCCACAAGCCCCTCTTTCACCCTTTTTCTGAGGTGTGTCTCTGATCAACTCGTTTTTTGACTGTCTCTTTAATTAAAAATGAGGCGCTCCACACCCCACACCCCTCCAGCTCCAATACTAGTTTATAGAGGGGGTTATGACTATATAGCTAAACACAAACTTCGTATCTATAAATCAAATAAAAGATATCATCAACAACAGACTTGTCCATCCAGCCTTACATGTTGGAGTCAAAGTCTGACCCAGAGCCAGAGGAAAATGAAGACGATCAAATTGTAGTTGGTAAATCCAGACCTTATTTGGCAGTTTTGTCACAAATTCTGTGATATAATAATTCAGAAAACATCATAAAAACAAAAAACTGAATGGGGTTGGAAAATATGACCCAAACAGATTATAAAGATATCTGCAACACAGGGAGAGACTAAATTCAACTTTTCTGCACTCCTTGAGACTTCAAGTATACAACAAAATGTGTTTAACAGCTACAAAAAAGGATTTTGCATGATATGTCCTCTTTAAGAACAATAATTCTCTTGTCCTGTTGCTTTTCAGAGTGATTATGACTCATCCATTATCTTGTTTCAGAGTCGGGTCGAGGGGGCAGCAGCTTTAGGGAGGCCCAGACCTCTCTTTCCCATGCAAACATCTTGAAGCTCGTCTGGGAGGATTTAAAGGCATTCCCAAGCCAGTCGAGAGACATAATCTCTCCAGATAGTTCTGGGACCTCCCTGAGTTATCCTCCTAGTCAGAAAAGCCTGAAGTATCTCCCTATAGGGAAGCATCATTGCAGATGCCAGAAAAACCTCAACTGGCTCCTCTTGATGTGGAGGAGTCTCCTGGATAACTGTACATAGAGGAGAGTCCAGCTACCATGCAAAGAAAACTTCTTTTGACTACTTGTGTCGTACCCAATGGTCGTAGAAGAGGGTATAAACGTAGACTGACCGGTTTGCTTTACAGCTCAGTTCCCTCTGCACCACAACAGACCAGTACAGATTCTGAAATACAAAAGTCAAACCGATTCGTCTGTCAGTCTCACGCTCCATTCTTCCCTCACTTGTGAGTAAAACTCCAAGAGGAGGCAGAACCTCACCCCCAAAGAGAGAGCAATCCACCCTTTTCCGACTTTTTTTTATCACTCCAAAAGCCAATTAGCCATTTATTTATTTAAATGGTTAATAAAAAACATCCCAAATCAACACACTTCTTGTAAAACAAATTGAAGTCAGACACCAGACTGGTCCAGCAATCTTGTACTACTATATCCCACTGAGCAGTTTTTGCCTCCAGCGGGTCTGTGGAGACACGCCGTCTTCAGAAAAGCCTTGTTGAGAACATCACATGCACAACAGAAGCGCAGATCACCTGTGGCGAGGCAATCATTCAGAGCTGTAAAGCCATGAGAGGCTGGTCCATGACTTGTATGATTGAGCTTTACCAGGACAGACTCCCAGTCAAACCCACTGAGTCTGAGCAGAAAGAATGAGTCGATTCAGCCTCTGTGAGTCAACTCCCCATGAGGACAGGCATGGCTGCAAC